CATCTGCTTCTGCTGCAACGAATGTGGTAGACTGCCAACAGGAAGATGTAACATCTTTGACCATCTCATAGCATCACTGCCAGGGAAAGACTGCGACGATGACATCGGCGACGTCATACTTCTAATCTGCACTGACAAGTTCTCAGCACTGGATACTCTCTGCGACGCTGCAAGGAAGACCTCAGGCTGCAACACTGGAGGTCCCAAAGGACTGGAACCATCTACTTCATCACCAGGCGCCCCAACATCTGTTGAAGGTCGTTGCATAGGGTTATGCAACGACGACCTTGAAGAATCTTGTTGAGTGGGAAGATCTAGATGAATGCCTGGATGATGTGGACTGCTTCCCTGAAGAGGCCATCTGGTGTTTCTTATGTTGCGCCGTCTCTGCCTGTGGGGACTTCCTTTTACTTAGACTTCTCCCCTACAGGTGACGTCGCAGACTTCGACTGGGATGACATCGTAGATCAGCACAGCTCTCAAGACATAGTCGCAGCAACTCACAGCACTCAAGACTGTATCACCTTCTCACGAAGGCTGGTTGAATCTGACAACAGGTTGTATAACTTTAGGCTCAAATTTTCCAATCACATGTGAAAATTGTTTATAAGTCAGATATTTTACAATTCAACAGATATATGAAGTCTTAAAATCAATATATACACATGTTTATACACAATAATCAAACATCAAGATATATTCAAACCGTAAACTAGCTAAGAAGAACAACCAGGGTGTAAATCAAGCGTGATGGACTGTTGTTTACATTGAAAACATGTGAACAAACAGTCACCTGGAACGAAGGGAAATTGAGAATTAATTTGACATAAAATGTACAAATTTTGTTATAAATATGATAAACAACATATATGGAAACACAATCACGGCAGAATTTGTGCTATATATCCAAAATATTTGAAGTTATAAGCCGCGAAGGGACCCTGAAGTGACCGTCCAACCGTCCGCTTGGGCGATAGAGGAGAGAGTGAGGAGGAAGGCATGGCGAGGTCACGTGCCATTTTTTGCGGGAGAAGGGAGGTAATTCAGGGTGAGTGATTGTACTTTCGCTTCAAGGGAATTGAAGGGATTCAAGTTTCCACTTGACCGTTCGGAAGAGAGGATGAGAAAGCAAATAAGCATGAGTCACGATAAGGAAAAATAAAGTATTTCTCTCCTATTGTTGAAGATAGAAACTTGCAGTTTAGACGTGAATGAAGCTGAGTAAATTGTTTAGTGGTTGAACCATTCACATTACTTGTAGAGTTTAAGTTCTTTAAGCATGGTCACTTCCAGTGGCAAGACGGGTCCCCTGCCTGGACTTAGGGATACATTCATCAACTATGATGTTTAGTTCATCAGAAAACATTTTATGGGATCAAGAATGCCCATGAAATGTTCAGGTTTCAATTTGTTAAAACACACAGCTTCATATAAAAGCCAGTTTGGTCATGTCTTTCAGTGGCATTTAGAAGTTGTACATAGATGTCCAAGATATTTTATGGATTAAACTTCTTTTTTATTTCCTTCACGACGTTTCAGTTCACCTGATGAAGGGACCTGGAATGGTCCCGAAATGTCATGAGGGAAATAAAAAAGACGTTTAATCCATAAAAATATCTTGGACAGTTTGGTTATATTTCATGAAAGCTTTCAAATGAAAGGGAGTCAATTTTTAGATTTAAGACCTAATCTCCCCCACCCTAGCCTAATAAATTACCTAATTTAAGTTCACTCATCTGCATATCGTCCCATTTTTGGGATGCACTATTGCAGTGTAAAAAAAGTATGGAAAAAAATTATTTACTGGTAAAATGACACCTCATTCCTTTCATTGCTGGCCAAAAGAAACCAGCTCACAAAATTTGATGAAAATCTAAGACCCTATGCATAAATGGGTTAAGGGTCAAATTAGGACCTGGGCTTATCTATGAGATCGACTTATCTACAGTATGTTACATCACATCAGCCTTGGGGAAGGGACTACTTTTGATTATTCCTTTTATACCACCTCTATTACATCATAGCCAGAATTTACCAAAGAAGGGACCTGGTACATAGCACACCCTGACAACTGAAGGTTTGAATACGAACACAGAGAAATAACAGATTATCGTCTGGACTGTTCACTGTTCCTAGCATTGGCATTAGTTCAGTAATCTGTAATTGAGATACCGTATATGACCGTCTATAAGCCGACCCCATGGATAAGCCGACCCCCAAACTTGACTCTCAAAATCAGTGTCAAAATCATATCTCTCATGGATAGGCCGCCCCCCCCCCCCCCGCTATGGGTCGCGGCCAACAGAGACCAGAGTACCCGGGAAGTATGTTCCATCAACGACGAGACACCATTACGAGACACCATGGAAGAAACCAAGTTGTTAGGATTCAGATGAATCAAGGGGGTCTGTTGTGAATCAATTATGGTGAGATCCTTGTTACCCTCTGAATCTTCCCTGTTGCTTTGTGCACTGACATTGAAAATCTTACTAGTGCTAGGGTGGGAGGACCTGAGTATATAGCCTGCTATATTTAGGTCATACTCATTGTGACACAGTTTCTTGTAAGGCAGGTATATCATCCTTGGTCACCAACACAACTGCTGGCCCCATATTCCTTTCATTGATATGGTGATCATTCATGTTGAAGGTTTCCAACATATAGACCATCAAGTGTTCTCCTCCTTACCTGGAACATCTGGCAGCAAGCATGAGGCAGGTTGGTGAACCAGTAGTTGCCTGAATTTTTGCCCACATGGGTATTGACTTAAGGTTGTTCTGCAATCCTGCGACCAATCGTCACCTCTTTCATGATTTCACCTTGAGTTATGCCAGAGTAACCCAGTCTTGGAACACACAACCATAGGTTTCTTGCCTGCCCAAGGTGATGAACCTTGACACAGTGAATAGGGATACCTTAGATGACTGAACCCCGGACTTACCCCAGATAACCCAAGCTGCATGTGTGACGCTCAGACGGTCAATAGTCATATGACGCACCCACCAGGTACCCATTTTCTGCTGGGTGAAAAGAGGCAGTTTTGTACAAACTTTCATGCCAAAGGTGAGACCACATGTGTCACATGCGCTTCGTTGTAGGGAAGGACTGAAGTCCTAGAAACTCTCAGGAGTCAAGCTATCAAACAGGGTAACCCATTGAAGGACTCTTTGTGACCAACATTGCTTAACTTTAACTGATTTGTGACCTGGGCTCTATACACAAGACCAAACACCACCACAGGATTTTATGGTGTGAAGACATTCAGAATATAGGAATTATGGCCATGATGTAATAGAGGTAATGTATTCGAAGGAATTATTGCTAATGTTTAATTGGCAATCAATCAAGTCATCTGGGAGCATTTTGCTGAAGCATGCTGCCAAACCATCAGCATGATAGTTCTGCTTCAGTTAAACACTGACTGTAGTCAAATAATGAACACATACAAAACAGAACTGCTTAAAGGGGCACTGATCCTGACCTCTGCTGCGCCACCTGCATGCGCAATTGATAGCATAAGTATAGATTGGTCGACAAAGATGAAATATTTTTAACTCAATAATGTTTCCATCTTCATTTTTATGATAACACATGAAAACATTTTGAAGTTTAACCATCTGCCAGGGGTAAAAAATGTTAGGACTGAAAAATAACGAAGTCAATGTACGTCTTTATAATTAAGAAATACACTTCGCTCTACCACCATGTATAGTGTAATAAAACACACTTTTGCCCTGAACTGCTTTAACATTATAATAGTTCAGGGCGAAAGTGTATTTTATTACACTATACATGGTGGTAGGGCGAAGAGTATTTCTTTTCTAAGATGCCAAATTTAATACTTTCTAAAGATAATTACCTCTTAATTTAAGGCAGAAAACAAACGACGGTGTCGGTGACCTAAATTAAGAATCCTCGCACAGGGCTAACTGGCGCGCTGTTCTATTGATGTGTCTGCCCCCTACGTTAAGACGAGCGTTACCAGAAAAAACAAATGATAACAGTTTGATGGCGGTTTACGTTCGGATTAAATATCTTCTCTGAATTATTTTAATTACATCTGTCATTAGCGTAAACCATATGGGGCAATATGAGCGTTGCATTTCTACTACCAGCGTAAGTTTAGATCAGTACCTCCAGAGGAAGTTGAGTAGTCAAGCGACATTCCACAATTGCATTGTGGGAATGTAAACATTCTGAAACGTTACCGTGTCGCTGAAAACTTGTGAGTCGAAATGACACATTTTAACCATCGTAAAACATAAGCGTAATGTTTCCACCAGTGATGTTAGCTGCGTGAAGCAACAGCAAACCAAGAAACTGGATGCAACGGTGTTGTTTACTGTAGGAGGCGTGCTGGCGATGACAACTGACATGCATCGTGGCGCCGCTACATTGTGATGCAATGTAAAATGGTTCGACACGAGGGGCACACTAGAATGGCGCAGTGACGGGATAACGTCATTCAACTGTTACGTCATCAAAAAACTATACCTTTATTGTCTGATAATGTATTTTTTTTTCGATTGTTCTAACCGCTAGGCATCTTAGAATTTGTCTTATAATCCTAATTAGTTTATTAAAAATGTAATTTTCTGAATAAAATTGATATTTTATACTTATCCTGACTCATGCTCTTTTGCTTGTCTTCTTCTTCTTCTTGCGAACATAGTGGAACACTTGTATCTCCCTAATTGAAGCTCCCTTCAATGTAAAATCACTAATTAGTACTCACCAAGAGTTGCTTCCCTTTCCAAAATCTTGGGGGGAAGGAGGGGCCACCTCTTCCCACATGCTTCACTCTCTCCTGTTTAACTTGAGCCCAACACTTGAATTTACAGGAAATCCAAAGTGTTATGTGGGGAGGATGGGAGGGCTTACCTCATGAGTCAGGATAAGTATAAAATATCAATTTTATTCAGAAAATTACATATTTTTCCTTATCCTGACTCATGCTCTTTGCTTGTAGAATCCCTACGGAAGCGGAGGTGGGAAACAGAATACTTTGGATTTAAATAATTAGTGATTTATATATGTAATAACCCCCACGGGAACTTCATAATGGCACTGTAATTAAGATAATTCCTGCTGCTATAATACATAAGTTCTACCAGCTGCCATAGATGGGGTACTACAATATTTAGATAATATGATAATAATAATAATAGTATAAAAGCGACTCCAAAGTGGAGAAGCGACCCAATGTACATGTAACATCAGTACTGGGCTTAAGACTAATGTAGACTTAAGATATGTATATAATTAGCACAAAACTCCGTAGAGTTATAAGCTAGATAATACTGGTATGATATATACAGAATAATCTCGTGAGACTATGTCTCATCGTCTACGAGGGACTGTCAACTGCTGTGCGAGGACCATGGGACCGAAATGGTGAATACCTGAGACGTCCTCGGTGGTGATATCTCTCAGATAGTGGTTAGCAAACACCATGTCGGATTTCCAAAAGCAGCCCTCCATAATGGTATTCAACAAGCAATTTCCGTGTAGAGCGAGTGTCGAAGCCAGTGCTCTGATTTCATGGGGATTAGATGCTCTTGGAGGGTCGAGTCCTGCAGCCTTGTAGGCACGAAGTATGACAGTTCTGATCCATATCGATATCGTGGTACAAGAGACTTCGGTCTGAGTCGCTGTCGATAGAGGGATGAATAACCGCTTGAGTTGGCGTCGCCTCGTTTTGGATCGTTGTAGATAGATTTTGAGTGCTCTCACTGGGCATTATGATAGGTCAAGCGTATCATGAGGTCCGAGAATTGAGGAAAGTGCAGGGACATGGAATAATCTGTCTGGTTGACCTGGCAATTGATTCTTGGCGATAAAGTCCCATCGCAGTCCCATATGCACTATGTTTTGATTGTCATCGAAACGTGTTCTCTCATAATCTAGAGCATGAATTTCTGACATCCTGGCTGCCGTTGCTAGGGATAACAGGAACAATGTTTTCTGTGTCAGAAATTCAAACGATGTTGATTCCAGTGGTTCATAGGCCTCACTTGTGAGGTGTTGGAGCACTACATTTAGATCCCATGCTGGAGCGCGAAATCTCTGTTTCTGATCCTCCAATCGGAATGAACGTAGCAAGGCCAGTAACTCTGGCGTCTTAGTTAACTTGACACCCGTTCTCATAGTTATCACTGAACTTAGAGCTGCGAGATATGTTGACAATGTCGAGCCTTTTAGACGTTTAGTTTGTCGTAGGTAACAAAGGTAGTCAGCCACTTGTGGATGTGTAGCATTTCTAGCTGTAAATCCCTTTTTAACAGCGTATGTCTCAAAACTGTGCCACTTGTCGTCATACAAGTTGCGCGTAGAATTGCGTAAAGCAAGCGTGACTGCTTTCGCCGCTCTGGCTGAATAACCTCTCTTGTTTAGACACACTTTAATACAGTCCATACGTGAAGTTGGAATGCTTCTGGGTTTCCGTGCGCTTGTTTGGTGTGAGGATGTACTAGTAGATTCGAGCGCTTTGGTAGTTGTAGTATTGGTTGTCCGATTTCTTGAATTAGAATGGGAAACCACGTTCTCGCTGGCCAGTAGGGCGCGACCAAAATCAGTTGGAGGCTCTGAGTTTGTCTGATTTTCTGTAACACCTTTGGAATTAGAGCTGGCGGAAAGCGCGTGCTGGCGTTGAGGCCTTCCCAGGATATGCTTAGTGCGTCCGTTGCCCACGCTTGTGGATCCGGGACTGGTGATACGAATGTTGTTAGCTGATTGTTGAAGCGAGTGGCGAATAGGTCTACTAGCGGAGCTCCTATTTCCTTGATAATCTGTGCAAAGATTTCTGTATGGAGCATCCATTCTGTCGGTGACGGTAGATGTGGCCGAGAGAGTGCGTCTGCTAGTACATTCTTGGCTCCAGGAATGTGACATGCTCTGACATGTATGTTGAGATCGTCGATTAGATCGAACAGTTGAAAGCATAGAGTCAATAGGTTCAATGATCTCGTTGAGCCTTGTTTGTTTATATAAAACGCCACTGTTGAGTTGTCGGTGTGAATCATTAGATGCGCATTCTGTAGAATGGTGCTCCAATGTAGTAGGGCGTTGATTACTGCTTTCATTTCTAGCATGTTTATGTGCAGCTTGCTCTCTTGCTGGTTCCATAACCCTGATGCCGTCCGGTTGGCGAGATGAGCTCCCCAACCTTGGAGCGACGCGTCTACATAGAGATGGGTTTTGAATTGAATTCCGGCTCTGTTAAATAGATGCCTTCGCAGACATTCGACCTCCTGGTCCACCATAGTAGATGAGGTCTGATGTGCTTCGGTAGACTGAATGGTTTTAGGTCGTCGAGATGAGCGTTGATGAGGACTTGTAACGGACGTAACTGTAGTCTGCCTCTGACTGTCATGTCTTGGGCTGACGTGAGGAGACCCAACAGACTCTGCCATTGTCGTAGTGGTAGCGGAGAGAGTAAGGCTTGTGGGATGGTCTGTTGGATCTTGAGCCATCGGTCCTCTGGTACGACGATACGGTTCTGTGTCGTGAGAAATCGAATGCCTAGAAATTGCAGATCTTGCGTAGGTTCTAGGTCCGACTTGAGTAGATTTACTAACCATCCTAGCTGCGTTAGTAGCTTGATGATGAAGTTTAACTGTAGTTTGAGACGCTGTGGATCTTGATCTACTTGAATCCCGTCGTCGAGGTAGAACGCACTGCGTAGCCCTTGACGATGTCGGTAAGTGACAATAGGTTTCGTTACTCTTGTGAACAACCAGGGGGCCGATGATATTCCAAATGGCAGAACTCTCCATTGGTAATGCAGCCTGTCTAGTGTAAACCGTAGGTATTTCCTGGATTCGGGATGTATCGGGATATGTAGATAAGCATCCTGCAGATCTATACTGGCCATGTAGTCCATGGGACGAACTAGGTGCAGTAGTTGAGGTAGATGTATCATGCGAAACGTTGGCGGTTTGCGTAGATAATCTCTGTTGAACGTGCTCATGTTGTAGATGAGTCGGAACTTTTCCTTGGAGTTTTTCTTGGGCACTAGGAAAACTGGGGAGTAGAAGCCTGGTTCGATGTTTACTTGATCCAGTACTTCTATGGCCTGCTTGGTTAGGAGAGATGAAACAGCTTCGCGTAACTTTGGTAGTTGTTGAGCCTGGAAGTCGAACTTGTGAGGGTTGACTGTAAGCGGAGGCATGGCCTGTAGTTGGATTCGATATCCGTGTTGTAGGATGTTGGAGACATATGGATCCTGTAGAATTCCCCAGTTCTCCCAGTGCAGTTGAAGGCGTCCACCCACTTGTGATGGTTGTACTGGAACGGCTGGGGGTGGAAGACTCCAGTCGTTCCGAACCCGTCTTACATCGTTTATAGTTGCGGGAGCCTCTGGGTGCCCTGCCTCTTCCAGATCCTCCCCTGTAGTTGCCGTATGGGCGACGAAAAGAATCTTTTCCTCCTCTTGAACCGGCCATCTTCCTGTCCCGTGCTTTCTGTAAGCCAGTAAACTTTGATCTTCCTGAATATCTCTGTGATGTCTGCCTGATGACGCTAGCTAGCGTGTCCATCGACTTTATCATAAGGACTTCCCTTGAATCCTTGGTGACTTCTTTAGAGACTTTATCTATACCTCCAGCGAAGATTGACGGCGTAGACCACGGGGCTGTGTAGAGTGAAGATGTGAACTGTTCACCCCAACTGCAGGAAGCGAGAAGACCTTGATGACGAGCCAGAGTTAGCGCTGCGGAGACTGATGTAAGATGATCCGTTAAAAAACTGCTGGTCCTTCTTCTGCATAAGGAGGGCCAAGTATATCATTCTGTCGTCTTCTGATGTAGAATCTTGAAATCTGGTGATGAGAGTTTCATAAATCGTTCTTGATCTGTTAAGGCCCGAAGAACATTCTTCTTGTCATGGTTTCGATCTGAACAAGCTTGCGGTCGTCTATCTTGTACGTCTTAGTCTTGGCATCGTTGATGACTTTGAAGTTATCGTCGATTTCTTGTGCCTTGAAAAATGGGTCCATATCATGGGCTGAGAACTTTTTGACGTTGAACTGTGGTAAGTGCAGCGCCTGGGCTTTAGTGGCTTTATGGAAGGCTGTGTCCAGATTCTGTCGGACCGCTGCTATCGGGTCGATCAGAGGTAGGGTGATCGTGTCTGCGTCGTCCTCCCTCATGAGATAGGTGTGGGCCGGGTTACCGGTAGGTTGATGCTCTTCCGATGGTGACTGAGGTGGAGTCCTGTATACTTGTACAGCTCTTCAGGGTGACGTCAACGGAGACCTGTCTGGGGACTTCCGTGAAGACTTGTGAGGCGAACGATGTGGTGACCTGTGAGGAGATCGACGAGGTGAACGGCGAGGAGATCGACATGGAGAACAGCGAGGAGATCGACGTGGAGAACGGCGTGGAGAACGGCCTGACGAGCTGCGTCTGTATGGTGACCTTCGCGGAGATCTATGTGGTGAACGATGATAGCTTCGCGAAGCTCTTGGGGAATCCCTCGATGACCTTCTAGACGAAGATGACTTGGAGCCTGTAACTGGTGCCCTTCGCGAAGACCTTCGCGAAGCTTCATCTGTGTCCGGTCCTGGGGAGCGACGACTTGACCTTCGCGAAGGCTGGGGGTCCGAGTCAGAGTCCGGGGATGAGAGGATCTTCCTTCGCAAACCTCTTTGTGAAGCGTTGATCATCGGAGTCTGAGGTAGGTGACGATCTAGGTGTCCTTCGCGAAGGCCTTCGCGAACGCTGAACATCTGGGTCCGCCGCAGAGGTGGGCTGTGGCGTCCGCCTTCGCGCAGGTGGGTTCCTCAGCGATGACTTGGTAGCAGCCACTACGTTGACGGGGGGGTCCCTCTGGGATGACGTCTACGTTGGAGCCTTCGCGAAGGCTCAGGCTCTGGGCTGGTTGTCTCTCCAGTCCGTAGCGGTCTTCCATCATCTTCATAATCTGAAGAACCAGGTTGTCTGGGACGGTCTGCGAAGATGTAGTTGCTGACCTATCTGCGTTGGTAGCGACGGGACCCTCAGGAAGATCGTCAGACATCAGCGTTGGTACATCAGGCTGCGTGTAGATCTGCGCTGACGTCACTGTTGCCGACACCGGTCGTTTCTTGTGATGCACATCAGGTATGATGATCGGCTGATCATCATACAGGCCCAGTTCTGCGGCAGGAACAATCTCAGCTGAAAAGTCCTTGTAGACTTCGTCGATTTCCCCTTGGAGGTAGACGCTGCCCTGGGGGTGCGGAGTCTGCGTTGAGTTGAAGTAGAAGCCCTCTTA